GAGAAATCGAGTGAATTTCCAATGTTGTAAAAATTTGAATTTCAAACGGTCATAAAAATTTAATTTGACTTTCTTATTGACATTTTTTTTTTTGGTTAAGGTAGATAATTTTATAAGGAATCTTGTATTACATTTTAAAACCTTAGATTTAAAAAGAAAAAATTTTACGAATTCTTAATTCAAAATAATTTGCTAATTTTCGTGATTTTTCCATATTTTGTCAATTTTTGAACTTTAAATGCTTATAAAAAAAAAAACTGTGACTAAGGATTTTTGATATTTTTCAAATGCCATTGTAACAATATAGTATGAGCCTTGTATTAAATTTTCGAGCTTTTTTAACCAACAAATAAAATTTTATTGATATTTTTAGAAAAAAAATGGAAAATGAAAATGTGCCTTAACAGTTCAAAATAAATCAAAACATTTTGAAAATGTTATCGTGTATAACAAGTGCTAATATAAACATTCAGTATAAATTTAATGTACCTACGGTCAGTTGTTTAAGAGTTGCACCAAAAACCAAAATCGATTTTTTCGAAAACACATTTTAGTGTAAAAATTCCCGTTTTTCCTTAATTTTTATTTAGTTTTTCACGCCGCTTTTGAAAACTACTGGGATTTTCACTTTTGACCCCCCCCAAAGTACCAACTAGATTCACTTTCCTATCAGAAAAGCTACTGTTGAAGAAAATCCAAGCACTTTGAATGTCCTAAAACGTGATGACAGACACAAAAAAAAATAAAAAATAAAAAATAGCTAATACCTAAAACCTAATCTATGAACGAAAATGAATGGTATTAAATTCAATAATGTCATACAACCAGTGGCGTCATTTCGTTTTTCAGTAGAGTTTGGCAAAGGTTTTGACCAGCCCGAAAGGGTAAAAAAAACCGCTCACAACTACATATTATCTCCTTAAATTTGTTTATGGTACCCTTTTTATTAACTAGGTAACATAATTTTTAAATATAAGGTAGCAGATATTTTAGAAAAACAATTGTACACATATATCAGTGAAAAATCTGCAAACTATTATACGGCAATATTTATATTGATAAACGAAAATATTAGTAGTTTATTAGGATATCTTCTTTTTTTATTTTTGAAAATATATCAACTGCATTATCTATAAATCAATTTTACCTGATTCATCACCATAGTCCATACTCTATTACTCTTATATATAGGTATACGATAAATTTACAAATTAATATTATTTTAAATTAAAATATATTTTTTTTTATTGCTTAGTTATCATCTCAAGTTTTATCTGTTTATTAAACATACCAGAAATTTATTTCGATTATTGAGCAGTTTGAAATAATTTTATAGTTTTAGCCACACAACCCATTTATTTTTTTTTAAGTCAAATTTTGACTAAATTAAAAGATTAGGTAAGTAATGTATACACGAGTCATGAAAGAAATACATTTTAATTTAGATAGATTAAGGGCCGTTCTTACAATGTCCGGTTAAAGTTAACCGACACTTAACCGGCCGAATCCTGCCGGTAATAAAATCTGATATCAGTCGGTTAGCGTTAACCGACACTTTACCGGACATTGTAAGAACGGCCCTAAGGTACTCAACTTAAATATTAACACAGTACCCAGAATAGCTGAATCACACGACTGTTGTAAGTTAGGTAACTGAAGTCCGTGATCAATGATAATTAATAAAAGTTCCAATCGGTTGTATTGTTTTTAGAATTTGTATTAGTTTTAGATTTTAGAAATTAATCTAGGTATGCGAGATTATGGTACCATTTATTATTATTATTTTTACACATTATACAAAACGTCTATTAAAATTTTTATATCCCCCCCCCCCTTGAAAAAATCCTAGATACGCTACACTGCACTCACACGCAAACATACCCGTGAATTATATTATCGTTGCTTATTATTGTTTTATGTTATCTAATATCTTGTGAATTATGTAATATCTAATATGTAGATTCGGCCGAGTGCCGACACCGGCCAGCAAGTCACCGCGGTGCGGTAGTTCGTTCGATGTCAACAGGCGCGAATCGCCAATAATTATTTTTTATTATTTTTTTCATTTTTAACAAGACATACCTATGCAATCTGTACCCTTAGGCACAATAAGAATATGTGATATAATATTTTGTACATGAAAACGTGAGGGATGAAGCCAACCAGTGAAGGCATTACCTACCTAATTGTTTATTTATATATATATTTTTTTAATTATTTGGATTATTCATTTAGTAAATCACGACACCAATTTCTTTTTAGTCGTCGTGTGGGGTTGCCTGGAATTGTGCGAGAAGCTAAATTGGATATAAGGGGATTAGGATGATATGGAAGTCTGTTATGGAATCTTTTGTAATATGTTATTGCTTCAGCGTGAATTGTTTTTATGTTTAGATCTGTGTGCAGAGAGTAGTTGGAGACATATGGCGGGGCATTAGTGATTAATCTTAAAATTTTATTTTGAACGGTTTGGATTTTATTTACATTAGTTACTTTTGCACTGCCCCATAGTTGACAGTTGTAGGCCATAAGTCCACATGGGCTTGATTAATGATTTATATATGAGAAGTTGGGTGTTTAGTTTAGTGTGCTTGTTAGATATTAGTGGTTTAACTGAGCGTAGTCGTTCGTTTAGGGCGAGTTTTTTAGTTTTGGTATGAGGTCCCCTGGTCAGGCGACGGCCAAAGGTTAGGCCTAAGTAGCCAATAATTATTATTATATTATTCCGTCTGGCTCAAATAGTCATCGAATTTGGTATAATCGTTGGGCGCTATTAATCGCCAACAATAAGTGCGTTGTTATAAGCGTATCGTTTTTGATATTGCGTTTTAGAGTAACCTGGGGTATAATGGAGCACCTAACATTTAACAGCTGGTATGTGGTATTATACACGTTTTAGAAATATTGTTATATTGTTTTCCTATCATAAATATTACGCAGATTTCAATTTTCGGGTCAAAATTTGATTTTACCAAAGCAAATACCAAAAATTCTGAATAATTAGAAATTATAACAAATTCGTCTTTTTACCCCATTATTGGGGTAAAAGTGCGCACCTAATCTGGTAATAGGCCGCATGCTAAATTAATTCATAAAAATCTATTTTATTAAAAAATGTTATCTATTTTATTTTTATCAAATAATAAGTTATAAATATATATAATATGCATGTATAATAGTTCCTAATATAATATATAATTAATACCTCATTATAATTTACCTCATATTGACGCCAAAACATCATCAATTGCTGAAAAAAAATGTTTTATCACGTTTGGCCAGTGTTGAATCCAGGTATACTTCAGGGGGGGCAAATGCCCCCCTGACAAATACAACGTTCTGACTTTCAACAAAATGTACCTATATTTATTAAATGCACAATACTCGTTACGATTACCACACCTAATGGCGTTCAATAAAATATAATTTATTTATATCAATGTTTTTATACCGTATTGGTATTGCCAATATAGGACTATCTCCTGACTTTCCCAAAATTATAGCAGTTATAAGATAACGAAAAATAATTGAAGAAACAATTGATTTATATGCAAGAAAAAAACTCGTCGCATAAAATTAATTTAAAAATAAATAATTACCTAATAGGTTTCTAATTTATTTTGTAATTTTTTCAATATTTATAATTTCTGAATTGTAATAATTTATAATAATACAATTTATAATATGTGACGACCTTAAATTAACCTTGGATTGATTTAAAAATTTGTAATTTGTTTTATAACTTTTTGAATATTTATAATTTCTGAATTTCAATAAATAATAATAATAGATAATACGATTTATAATGTGTGACAACCTTAGATTGATTTAAAAATTAAAATTAAATAATTTGTTTTTAATTTGTTCGTAGTTTTATCTAAACTTGAAATGTCTAAATTATAAATTGTAATAAGAATAACTACCTATTAATAGATATAATTCATAATACTAAAATGACGTATCACCCTTCACCAATGAAAAAAAAAGTGAGCCCCCCTAGAAAAATTTTCTCGATTCAACACTGCGTTTGGCAAGACGAATTAATATTTAATAATATATATCTATGACATAATCCTAATAACAAAAATGTTTGACCAGATAGCAATTATTATTAAATTACTTATACACAATAGTTCATTTTGCCCCAGGCACCATAATACATTAATGCCCCCCAGGTTAATCTAATATGTAGATTCGGCCGGCACCGGTCGGCAAGTCACCGCGGTGCGGTAGTTCGTTCGCTGCGCGCGGTCAACACGTACGTCTTATCGCAGGCCCGAATCGCCAATAATTATTATTATATTATTCCGTCTGGCTCGAATAGTCATCGAATTTGGTATTATCGGGCATGTACCACTGTACCAGTTGCCCCCAAAAGTACCTTTTTTATACCAATTCCCCCCAAACTACCTAGAGCAAAATGTACCAGTTGCCCCCAACCGAATGTACCAGTTGTCCTCATATGTAAATATATATATACGATCACAATATATAGCAATATATAATAGGGGAGGTAAATATACAAATAATAATTATAAATAGTACCTAATTATTATAACAAAACATAGTACTTACATAATATTATATCTAATTTTTTTACTATTTTTTTTTTGACAAATTTGATAATTTAATAATATGCCGCTTTTCATTATAATTATATTATTGGTACTGGTTTGTTATAGCCCCGCCACGGCGAGTGAAAACTTTATAGCCCCACCACTCAGATTTGTTATCCCCCCGCCATTCATATATAATAATAATATCTTTAAAAATGGTTTCAAACGGATCACTATTATTAGCCCCGCCACTCAGGTTTGTTATCGCCCCGCGATAATATAATAAATATAAAATAATGAGACGGAAAATACGTACCATAACTATTAGGTGCCTACCATAGGTGTACATCACAAATAATCAATAATATAATAATATAATAAACTGATATTATACCGATCAAACATCACAGTACCTACGTATTTGTTCGCATTTCAGACATCATCATGCATTTTAAAGATTTGTTAACACAAGTGCCCGATATAAATGCCGGAATTCAATTTCTCCAGTCCAAAAATATAATTGAAATGACCAATACATGTGATAATGGCCACGAAATGTTTTTGAAAGGTTCGAGGTGGCGATGTCAACGAAGGGATTGTCGTAAAGAGAAAGGTATTAGGGTAAATAATTGGCTGAACGGTTCGAGATTGCCGATAAATAGTATTGTGTATTTTATATACTCTTGGGCTCATGAACTTACTTCAATGACATATTGCAAACGTGAATTGGGTATTGGAAAAAATGCGGTAGTCGATTGGAACAACTACTTACGAGAAGTTTGTGTTTGGCGCATGGAAAGCAACAATAACAATCAAGTAGGTGGTCCAAACATAATAGTTGAAATAGATGAAAGTCTTTTCGTACGCCGGAAAAATAATGCAGGGCGTATATTAGGTACCTCAACAATGGGTGTTTGGTGGTATATGCCGTGAAACCAAGGAATGTTTCATAGTTAGTGTGCCAAATAGATCAGAAATTACATTGATACTTATTAATTATTATTAACCGATATATTAGACATGGTTCTATAATTTTTTCTGACAGTTGGAAAGCTTATGTTAATTTGCAACAACATGGTTTTCAACATAATCAAGTCAATCATAAATATAATTTCGTGGACCCTAACTCAGGTACCCACACACAAAATGTTGAAAGAATGTGGGGTTCGGCCGAATGGGGCAAAAAAAACGTAGAGGGACGGATAGAAATTTTTTAGACTCGTACTTGGCAGAATTTATGTGGCGATCAAAACTGAATAATAGTGATCCGTTTGAAACCATTTTAAAAGATATAGCAGAATTTTGGGAATCACATAAAGCACAAACATTTTTAATTATATCAGTTTTTTTATATTTATTATTATTATTATATTCAATTTTTTAATATTAATTTTTTTAAATATTAAATATTATATCGTCAATAAATAAACTTTTTTACTTATATCACTGTTTTATATTATTATTATATATGAATGGCGGGGGGATAACAAACCTGAGTGGCGGGGCTATAAAGTTTTCACTCTCCGTGGCGGGGCTATAACAAACCAGTATTATTATTATGAATTTTTTCTATCACTTTACACCTACTACTTTTTTGTTGAAAAATATTATTACATTGAAATAGTCACACAATTATAATATTTATTATTTTATTGACTATTGTATTCATATTATTTTGTTAGTTATTATTATTTATTATAAAATACAATATTAGGTATATATTCCAAGCAAATTAATTTTTTCTATCATTTCATACTATTTTAAATAATTGTATTTATTTTTTGTATATTTACCTCCCCTATTTTATGGGATATATATTGTTATCGTGTATATATTTACATATGAGGGCAACTGGTACATTTTTAAAATCCCGATAACAGCCGAGGGGGGCAACTGGTTAACACCCGTATTGGCCGTATTATCGTTGGACGCCATTAATCGCCAACAATAAGTATTAAGTGCGTCGTTATAAGAGTATCGTTTTTGATATTGCGTTTTATAGTGCGCCCGGGAGCCGCCTAGAAAATCGTGCGTTAATAATTTATTATATCGTGGTCGCGAATCGTCACATAACATATGTAGGGCCACTAGGGCGATATGGGTTATGGTATAATCATTGGCGCAACTAGGGGGGGGTGCTTTGGGTCCTTAGCACCCCCTAAGTCAAAATTAGCACCCCCTGAAAAATCGTTAGGTGTTAGGTCTCATTGAATCACAAAAAAACCTGGAGCTTAAGCAACCCCTAGTTCAAATGTCTAGTTGCGCCAATGGGTATAATATAATTAATTAACACACTGTATGTTGCACAATTGCACACGAATACTTTATTATAGTGTAACGAACTGGGTTGCTTGGTACCTACTATTGTAGTGATAATAGTAGATAAGTGGCTACCGGTAGTCGGTACGTTAATGTTGCAGGTCGCAGACACTTCTTCAGATGTTGTAGTCGTGGTTGATAAATAAATAAGAGAACAGTTGTTGTATAATATAATATTGTGGATTTTATTATTGCACTTCGGTAATTTTACTAAGTCCAAAATATTGTTGTACAGAGTGGCGTGAAGGTGCTTGCACTAATGGGTGGCAGTACACGTCTGAATACAGGCCGATTCGGGCTCCCTTATATATGAGGTTCCCCGTACCCATAGGCGCAACTAGAGGCCAAACACTGGGGGTGCTAAAATTATGTAGAGAACACAAACCCGCACCCCAAAGTAACATACTTTGATTTTATAATTACTATAACCATTCCTAAATGCACCATGAACATTGAACACATAAGGACACTAATATTTAAGTAAATCTGCAACAGTAATATACCTGATGAATACATGAGGTATGTTATATTATTTAGGTGATAAAAATAGTAACCTGGAAGTATAAATAGATAAAAAAAAAAATTTGATCAAGTGGGTACCGCTTTGCTGTACAATAGTTGTTGAGAATGTCGTTGTAGTGGATGTGTTATATTTGAATTCAATTTGAAAAATGTTCTCATAAATAGCTATAAATAGTCCATAAAAAGTCAAGTGTTTAAAGAATTTACGATGTATGGAAAATGCTATTATAAATATTTGGTGAACATTTCAAGAATCTACGGTTATTCATTTTGGAGATACAACAAAATCCAAAAAATCGATTATTGGGAATTCGATTTACCGCTGAATATCGAATATCGTGACAATTATAAGTTCGAACACTCATAAAAAATTCAAGTTTAAGTATACGTTTTTTTTTATAGGTAGACAAACTTATGTGAAATCTTTTATTAACATTTTTAATATTAGGCCTTAACTGTGAAAGGAAAATATTTTATGAATTGCTAACTGAAAATAATTAAAAATATTTGAAAAATTTCTCAGTTATAAATACCTCAAAAAGAGTCAAAATTGTTTAAACATTTTACCATGTAAGGAAAATTTTAATTTTAACATTTGATAACAATGTCAAGTATCTAAGATTATTCGTTTTTAAATTACAACAAAATATCAAAAATGTATAGATGAAATTTCGTTAATTTACTGATAAAAATTGAAAATTGAATGTTGTACACATTTTAGATTCAAACGCTCATAAAAAATGTATGTTACTTTCCAGTAAACTTTTTTTTTTGTTTAAGATAGTACCAATTGTGAGGAGTCTTCTATCAACATTTATAATGTTAGCTATGAAAGGAAAAAAAACTTTTATAAATTTCTAACTGAAAATTTCCAAAAAAAATTGAAGTATTCTAAATTCTAATATTTGATATACCTATAATCATTACAAACAATAATTTGTGTTTGTGCTAAAAACGAATAAATAAAAAAAAAACCTTAAGTAAAGCTAAAAAAACTATTTTTTTTAGATGATTTTTCAATTTTTGCTGTTTTTGAACTGGGGGTGCTAAATTAAAGTTTGGGGGTGCTGAAGCACCCCCAAGCACCCCCCTAGTTGCGCCTATGCCCGTACCCCTCGCCTATAGAAACTGTATCAAGACTGTCACGGATGTAATTTGTGTGGTCATCGTTCCAGCCTACGCATTACCAAAATATGATTATTATTAAAATAATCATTTTACTCTTTTATATTTGTATTTCGTCGTATAATTCAGTGTTTCTGTAAATATTACATCCGCCTATTCTTGAACCCTTTATCCTGAGCTATTCAGTGAGCCTGTCTCCTTAGGTTTGAAGGAGGAAACCCCAATCCATTTCCGTTCTTTATGTCCGACTATGCCGGTCTACCGTATAATATAATAACTAGGTACCTATGCACCTGTGGAATTGGTTTTATTGTTAAGTACCTAGTAACTTGCTTACTACAATAGTATAAATACAAACAACGGAAAATAGAGTTCACTACAAATTATAGAATTGATAATACTTATAACGATTAACGTGGCGTCGTAGGGCATATGCAGAGCGGGAATCCGCTGGCATACGCACTCGACGGGCGGAATACTAATTAGTAATTAGTAATAATCAGGGTTGGACTAGCCCCAAAATGTGTACCGGGAAATTCTATTTTTTGGCGGCCCTCCTTCTTTTTACCAGCCATGTAGTTGAACGTAAGGGGACAAGCTCTATTATAAAAAAAAATGTTAGTTAATAGTGAATTATCTAAAAATATAATTTATAAGAAGGAAATAATTATAAGCTTCTCCCTTCAAGAAAAAAAAAATATTGTGTTAAGGGTATGACTAGCCTTTGTCATGAGTTATTTATTTTTTAAATATAATATAATAAAAAAACAATTAATATAAATACATTGTCAAACAAAATATAAAAAATTTCATCAAAGCAGAATACATAAATTATTTAATAAAAATAATAATAATTCTTTGTAAAGGTAGGTAGGTAATATATATTTTTAAACAACCAACATTTTTTTGAATACTGAGCTATGTTTTATCACTTCCTCAATAATGTTTTCATATGTTAATGTTTCCAAAATATCTTTATTTAAATGCATTAACATCCATGCATCCAGATTTTCTATCGATAGACGGTTTTTAAGTAGGTTTTTAATAAAACTTAAGGTAGAAAAACTCTTTTCACAGCCTACCTGAGTGCATGATAGTGTTGAAATATACATATAGGCTAAAAATAAATTGCTATATGCTTTAACATATAATCTATATTTAAACAATACATTAAAACAGCAAAGAAAACAATTTAAACACCGTATATTTGTTTTGCATAGGTTTTGTTCAAACTCATTTTCTTGCAAACATTCTAAATCTAATTCTGGAAGTTTATTTTCCTCATCACTTCTATAACTTGCATATACTTCAGGTAAATTTAATTTAAGCTTATCCCATTTTTTGGTAAAATCTAGAAATTCTTCCCTTAAAATAGAAGTATTTTCTAATCCAAGAACTTTACTAAGTTTGAAAAGAGCAGTTGTGGGCAATGGTTTTGAAAATTGACGAGGATCTAAGCATGTAAAATCTGAACATATTTCAGCGTGTTTAGCAAAACGTTGTTCTAGTTTACAAATCACTGTATCCATCGCTGTGTTATGAACATTAAATTTAAACAAGTCAATAGCAGTTTCAGTAACAATTTCATTTTGGTTCTCACCATACAATGTTTTTTTCTTACGTATCCGCACATTTGGCAAATTATCCGGGATCAAATTATTAATTTCATCTACTAGGTAGTTTAATTTTGTTCATAATAATACAATAATTATTTCTGTCCTTTTATCAATTTAAATTGATTTAAGTATTAAATTCCATAAAATAACGATTGAAATAAATTTTTTTTTATCAAATTAAGATAACCACCATGGACTCGCGGTCCAATATAATATATTAATAGTTACGGCGGTACGCCAGTACGGCCCCTTTTTGCTGCGGCCCACCGGGAAATTTCCCGGTATCCCGGTGGGCTAGTCCAACCCTGGTAATAATTACTATAAACTACAAAATAATCAGTCACTGGTGTT